ATCACACAGCCAGGTGTAGAGGAGGATATGAATTCCTATTTTACAAACCCATCTTTATCCTGCCATCTAACCAGTGGCCAAGAGGTGCTTCCCAACGTAGCCCTCAATTCAACTGCCTATGACCCTGTCAGGCATTTTTCTACTTATGGAGCAGCCGTTGCTCAAAACCGGATTTATTCTTCTCCTTTTTATTCACCGCAAGATAACGTTGTGTTTAGCTCCAGCCGAGGACCTTATGACTATGGATCTAATGCTTTTTACCAAGAAAAAGACATGCTTTCTAGCTGCAGGCAAAATTCTATGGGACATAATACACAGACATCAATCGCACAGGATTTTACCAGTGACCAAAACAGGAACACTTCGCAAGAACAAAAAACTAGCATTCAAATATACCCCTGGATGCAGCGTATGAACTCCCACAGTGGTAAGTTTTACAGCTCGGAGATATAAATTAAATAAACTGAACCATCTTTACGACCTTCTCCCTAGCAGAACAGGCTGAGCGACTTTTTATGGCCCCATAAAAACAATAATATAGCTCCTTCACAGTTGCAGCTACAGGCCTTTTATTTGTTAAGTTGTTGCAAGCAAATATGGCTTGTTATGCTCTTTCTAATTAAAAGACTTCGAGAGTGTAAAATATCTATAATAAAGTGCAGCGAGCTCTGCTCGGGAGTTAAGCACAAAATATTACCGGGGTAAAAATAAGTTTTAATGACGGGTGCGGGAAGTGCGGCGGTGGCGGGTTCCCCGCACCAAGAGGGGCCGGGGCTCCTCTCCCCTCCTCCCCCCCTTCCCCGGTTCCCCCAAATCCTCCAATTGGCAGAAATAATGTGGGGTGAAAAAAAAAAAAAAAAAAAAAAAAAAAAAAAAAAAAAAAAAAAAAAAGGGGTGGGCGAGCAAAGTCTTCCTGAGTGCCCGGTCGTCTTTCCGGAGCGAGGAAAAACACAGTCAAGCTGGAGGGGATTTTGGGTGCCCAGGAAGCGCGGGATTGGGCCCTGAGCCAAACTGCTTTTAAAGTAGCCTTGAAGACCTGCCCGTGCTGGAGTGGCTTCGCTGGCGGCGTGTGTTGGCGTTGCA